CGTAGACCCCTGGTTCAGAACCCCCGGTCTAGACCATCCCTGATAGACATTTATCCAACCTATTCTTATATATCTCCAGAGATGGGGATTCCACAACCTCCCTGGGCAATTTATTCCAGTGTTTCACCACCCTGACAGGCAGGAAGTTTTTCCTAATGTCCAATCTAAACCTCCCTTGCTGCAGTTTAAGCCCATTGCTTCTTGTCCTATCCTCAGAGGCCAGGAAGAACAATATCCAACGTAGACCTTCCCCATTGCAACTTGAGACCATCGCTCCTTGTTCTGCCACCTACCCCCACTGAGAACAGCCTCTCTCCATCCTCTTTGGAACCCCCCTTCAGGAAGTTGAAGGCTGCTCTCAACCCCCCTTGCTCTTCTCTTCTGCAGACTAAAGAAGCCCAAATCCCTCAGCCTCTCCTCATAAGTCATGTGCTCCAGACCCCTCACCATTTTTGTTGCTCTCCGCTGGACTCTCTCCAGGGTACTCACATCCTTTATTACAGTCCCTTATTGAGCTGACAAGAGTGGCCAAGAATTTACTGAAGACCCTTCAGAAATGTCTTTCATGAGCCCTGTAGGAGCTGTAGTTGGCGCAACCTCAGTCAAAGTGAAGGAGACTGCGTGGAGATATGTCACTTCACACCAGCGGACGTTCTGAGACTCATTGAAGTCTTGACTCTTTTAATAGTCTAGGGTATGTCTACACTAACCCCCTAGTTCTAACTAGGCAGGCTAATGTAGGCATTCGAAGTTGCAAATCAAGCCCGGGATTTAACTATCCCGCGCTTGATTTGCATCATCCCGGCCGGTCGCCATTTTTGAAATTTACAAGTCCGGACTAAATGCCCACGGCTACATGTAACAGGGACCCGGTGGTTCGAAATAAAGCCCTAGTTCGAACTACCTGTTATTCCTTCTGGAATGAGGTTTAGCTTATGAAATGCACCCCTTCAGCTTATGAAATGCACCCCTCGTGTATCGGAACCCATGGACTAAGGAAGGCTCCAGCTGTGTAGTTATCTGGCAGAACTACACAACCGGGTCTAGTAGCCAATTTTTGGAAATCTGTAAGAGGAACTCATGCAAAACAGAAGCAACGCACCTTCCGGACAGAAGATATTAAGTACCAGCATTTTGCTTAGCATGACACTTAGGGTATGTCTACACTACAAAGTTAATTCGAACTAACAGCCATTAGTTAGAATTAACTTTCATAGGCGCTACACATACAAACCGCTAGTTCGAACTTAATTCGAATTAGCGGAGCGCTTAATTCGAACTAGGCAAACCTCATTCTACGAGGACTAACGCCTAGTTCGAATTAAGTAGTTCGAATTAAGGGCTGTGTAGCCACGTAATTCGAACTAGTGGGAGGCTAGCCCTCCCCAGCTTGCCCTGGCGGCCACTCTGCGCACCACCAGGGAAACTCGTCTGCCCCCCTCCCGGCCCCGGAGCCCTTAAAGGGGCACGGGCTGGCTACAGTGCCCATGCCAGGTGTAAGCCTGCCAGCACCCAGCCAGCAGACCCTGCCCCAGGCACGGCGGGAGCCAGCCACCCGCTGCCACCCAGCCCTCCCCCTCTTCCCGGGACCAGGCTGGCAGCTCTCAGGAGCCTGCCCGGGGCCACAAGAGGTGGGTGCCTGCCTGGTCTAGTGCGGAGATCGTGGACCTCATCCAGGTTTGGGGGGAAGCCTCCAACGTCCACGACCTCAGCACTAGGCACAGGAAAGTGGCCGTCTAGGGCAGGAGAGCTGCCAGCCTGGCCACCCAGGAGCAAGTCTGCATGAAAATCAAGGTTTTCCAGTGAGACCCCCCCCAACTCTGAGCTTAGAACATAAGAACGGCCGTACTGGGTCAGACCAAAGGTCCATCTAGCCCAGTAGCCTGTCTACCGACAGCCGCCAACCCTAGGAACCCTGGAGGGGATGGACCGAAGACCGTGACCAAGCCATTTGTCCTTACCCATTCCTCT